CGGGGCGACGCCGCCGCCGCCATCTTACGTTGGGGCAAGTCCCGCCCAGCGCCGGGCGCGACCCCGGGAGCAGAGGCCCCCGAGCCGTGCCCACGCCGGTTGTGCATCACCTCAACCCCCCGACGCGGGTGGAAGGGGCCCTGCCTGTTTGCAGGCAGCAGCATTAAAGCGCTGCCCGTTGCCACGCATCAGAGATCAAAGATCAAGCTTGGGCAGCTCCTCCGCAAAAAAAAAACCCAAACCAACCCCCACAAAACCCCCTTTTCTAAGCCCAGAAAACCTCACTGGCCCTCTCTGAGCGATCACTCCCGCGGGATATCGCTGAGACAGCGGGTGGGGACAAGCCATGGGAAGGAAACAAGTGTCGCCCTGGGTGGCCCCCCACCCTCCCCAGGCAGAGGCGCCGTCCGGCTCCCCATGGCTACGGTCAGAAAGCACGCGAGGAAGGCCCCGGGCGCGCTGTCCGCACGCTCTTTTATTACAAGTTGGTCAGTGTCATTAAAAAAAACCCCCAAATCCCCAAAGGCAGAACGCGGCTGCCTGCGACCGTAGAGAGCCGGGACGTGCCACCGTGGGGGGAGGATTAGTGCTTCTTGCCGTAGATTGCAGCCAGCGCTTTGCGGGCACTGGAGATCTGCTGCTCCAGCCTCTCTCGGGTGGCTTTGTTTGCAGTTTTTTTCAGCATGGCTTCCATCTCCTCCACCACTGCCCTGTGACCGGCAGTGTTGTGGAAGACGCGGATGGCCCGGTCCCCACATGACACCAGGTAGCGGCTGTTGGTGTCAAAAGCCAAGTCTGTTACGCACTGTCCGTGCACACCGAGAAAGCGTTCCTCCTCCTCTCCTCGTCTTGTGTTGTACACAACAATGTCTGCGCCGCTAGAGATAGCGACGACTCGAGCGTCGGGGGACAGGGCGATGCGACAAGGCTCCGTCACCTCGCACTTCCCCGTCAGAAGCAGGTACGGATCCTGTTGCTTCTTATATTCCACATCTGTGTCCCAGAACTTCCACGTCCCGTCCTTCGAAACAGTCGCCATCCTGCAGCCAGGAAACAGGGCACAGGTGAGCGCAAGGAAACCGGGCAGCACCTCTTCCCCTGCCACGCCTGCGAACCAGGAATCCTTTGTGGCCGGAGAGCTCTTTTGGGAAGCACAAGTCTGCACACACGTACAGTCCTCGTCCCCCTTCCGGAGCACGGACAGCAGTCACCCCCAGGAGGAAATCCACGGGGAATACGCAGGTGGGACGAGCCGGTCAGGGTTTTGCCGCCCTGGGCTCCCAGGAGAGCACACAGGGCAGCACTCCCCCCACACCGTGCAGGGGTGCAGCCCCCCTGCACAGGCTGCTGGCGTACACTGGAAGGGGCGAGCTCACGTGTCCTGAGGGCAAGTCAAAGCGTACTATTTCAGGCAGCAGGTAACACACTTACCTCCTCGAGTCATTAGAGAAGGAGAAGGAATGCACGCCAGCGGTGTGGCCTTTCAGCTCAAAAGCCCTGGCCACCTCCCGGAAGTCTCCGTTCTTGCCAAAACACACCTCCCACACCTTTACATCAGGGGTAAAGCCACAGGATGCCACAAACCTGGGTGAAAGACACGGGGTATCTGTTACAGAGCACCTACTTCGTCCGGGCCGTGGGGCCAGCCCTACAGAGCTCCCCTCTGGCCTCCTGAGCAAGGCAGGGGCCAGGGGCAGCCCTCCTGCGTGGAGGGGTGCCTAAGACGGGGCTCTGTGAAGGCAAAGCTATCCAGACACCTACGTTAAAATCTTTGCTTTGGTCAGCTGAAAAAGTTTTCACTTTTCACTGAAACCAGGCTGGTAAAGGGAACGCTAAGGAAGGCCACCAGGGACCAGAGCAGCAACTCCGCAACTTGGGCATGAGAAACTCCCAGGCCAAAATAAAATAGCTAAGTGCTTTTGATCCCCAAACTCACTGAGCTTGGAGCGTGGCAAGTCTTCCTGCAGCAACAAGTTAGAGACAGAGCAGAGAACACGATTTTCCTGATAAACAATCTCTCAGTAATAAAGATTTTAATTTTATAATTAACCTTGAAAAGGTTAAAAACAAGTTAGAAATGCTGTTTGCCTTGCATACACCATTTGCATCGTCCCACCTCCGTTTTCTGAGGCCAATGCTGTTCTCCTCAGCTCTTCAGGAGGTGGTTAACAGGAAAAGCAGCGCTGAGGCACAACAGCAACCCTCTGAGTGTCTGAGACTATGCAGGCAAGAGTCAGCGCTCCTGGAGGGGCTGCTCCTGGGGGCCGGAATCGCTTTTTAAAATGTGGAACCCTCAGAAAATTGCATTAAAATAACAGCTAATTGCCAGTGGTCTGAAGTGATGACGTCCTCTGGGAAGGAGCGAGGTTCCTGTTCGCTCCTGCAGACTCCCACTCCGCAGCAGGAGCAGCCCGGACTACCTCACACCCCTCACCTTCCGCAGGGCGACACCGTGGCGTAGGCATTGTTCATCTGGTTAGTGTTAACGCTGGCCAGGACTTCACCCTTCGGGCTCCATATCAGGATGGTAGTGTCGCTGGAAGCTGTCATGATAAACTTTCCTGGGGGGACAAGGCAAAGATCAGGAGAGCTCCCAGGCCTAACGCTGCCACAGACTTCCCTAAGGCCTGGGAGGGTCCCTAAGCAGGGCAACCTCTCCCTGCGCCTGGGCAGTCAAGAAAACCAAAAGCAGCACCAAAATTCAAGGAGTGTCAGTCTCACGGGACAGAGCGAAGAGCAGTATCAGAAGACTCGGCTCCTGGTTATGCATTAGTGCACCCTTGGCTTCAGCAGCCGTCAGCTGGCAACAGGCACACGGAGACCACACGTGCGCCTCACCCCAGCACCCCTCAGATCCCCCTTGCAGAGCTCAGCACTAAGCTGGTACCACAGGAGTAACGCGGCCGACTCCATCTTCCCCAGACGGCCAAAACACAACTCGAGGTATCTGTAGCTTTCCAGTCATGGATTACGGGCAGGTAGCTGACTACAAGTCACACTACTATTATCCACGATTACTGTTTGTGTCAGCATTTTGGACTCCTGCTTGTTTCCACTTGCAATGCCTTCCCTTTTTCACCTCAGCCCAGACAGGGAGTTGCCTGTTTACCTTTCAGCTACTTGTTGCAGGTCTAAGTTTTCACTTTCACGCTGAACAAAGGTCTCAGTTAACATTTTCTCTGCTCACCTGTTACAGAGGTGAACTCACGTCCACCCACTTCCAACTGCCCGCTGTCACATACCTGAAGCATCAAGCCCTCACCAGTAACACATACCCGCCCCAGCCTCTCTTCTAGAAGATCCCAGATAGACCATACGAACTCACTAGAGAGATTTTTGACTGGTTAAAGACAGACCGGTGGGCCAGAGCACGGCGATCCTCTCAATACTGAGACCAGACGTCTTTGCAACAGCATCCCTGAAAATGTCAATTAAGAGGCCGCGCATGTCAGGGTGCTAATTCTGTGCTTACAGGAATATTGTTTGTCTGAAAATGACATCTTTCAGTTCACTCAGTAGTAAACAAAGGCTAAAAAGTAACATCTAAGAGACTACAGAGAATCAAGTACTGGTGCAGAAACGGGCCTTGAGAATGCCAAAAACTCCAACGCTTTCAACCCAGCAGCTCTTGTTCTACAAGGAAATCAAAGCTGATCTCGAGAGCCTCAACAAGTGAGCAGCTCTGTCATTTCCATACCTGTCTCTGCAATTCCTATGTTAATGACAGGAGCCTTGTGCTTCTTTGGGAAGTCCCCAGCAGTTGCAGTGAAGGTGAAGCTGCCATCATCCTTCTTAGTCATTTTATAGACACGAATAGTCTCGCCATTCGCCAGCCAAACAATGAATGCCCTAAGTGGAAGAACAGACACTCTGAAGCATTAAGAAACAGGCTACCTCAGCTCAGCCTAGCTACAACAGGTAAGCTAATAGCTCATTCAGTGGCACCTGGGGAAAGGGATATGCTGGCAGATAAAAAGCTGTGTGCTTTACGAGGGCACCAAGTTCTCTCCCTGTGTTAGCTCAACTGCAATGCTGAATGGAAAAGAACAGAATTTATTGCTCCACATCCGGAAACGAGATGCCTTCCCCTCTCTAAAAGAGGCCGCTTCACAAAGTGCCAAGGCATGCTTTTCAACCAACCTTCCCAGCCAGGAAGAGCTCTCTCCCCAGGCCCCGGAGAGGCTCAGCAGCTCAACCCAGCCGCAGGGCCTGCTGGCAAAGACCTTAACAAGCACGTCCCACGGGGGTGGCAAGCTGGGCACTGGGATATTCGCCCTCAGCACCACATTAAAGTGCCCGCTGCTTTCACGGATCAGTGGCGCTGTCAAGACCCTAGGAGGGGTGCAGCCTCTGTGCAGCCCGGTCCACAGGACGCCCTGGTGCCGATATGCCCCAGGCGGTCCCCAGGGTGGGGAGGCCTGGCCCTACCGTGAGTCGGGGCTGAGGCGGACAAGCTCGGCGTGGTCCAGCCCCACGTTGGCACGCAGGCAGCGGTGCTCGCGGGCCGTGAAGTCCCGGGTGCTCCACAGTCGGACCGTGCGGTCGTCGGCGCACGACGCCAGGTACTTGCCGCTGCTGCTGAAGTCCAGGCAGGAGACCCGACGGAGAGTCAGGGCGGGGGGGGGGGGGGGGGGGAGCACCGGCGGGGCGGGCCCCCCAATTCACTC